TGTTATGCATTTTCATGAATTGTAAATAAAATGTTTCAGGAATACTCGTATAGTATTTACATTGTTTTGCTGTAGTAAGTCTGCACAAATGTTCTTGATAATTATCATAAGGGTTTAAGAGGAATATTCTTTGGTCCACATGTGCGCTGAGAAACTTGATTCAGACTATTTGTGTAAATCATATGAGTAGTTATTTCTGGTAGCACCTTTTTTACAGGTAACAGTCATAAAGTGCATTTGAGATTTCAGATTATCACAGCAGTAGATTTGAAGATGACTGACTTCTGGAATGTTGCGCCATTTCATCTGATTTGCACTTACTGCTTCCATCATCAAGGTTATGATGATGGAGACAGTAAGCACCTCTGAAACACTGATAAGACAGAAATTTTCATACAGTGCAGAGTCAAATTATTTGTATTTTCATTTATTCAAACCATTTTCATGTGATCTTTTATCTAATTAAAGACAAATGATAATTATTTAAATTATTATGTCCCAAAAACAGACTGATGGACATCATGATAATACACACATACCAATTGAAGTGTGGGATATTAAAAGGAAAACATAATAATATATAACATACTTCTGACAGTGACAGTGAAGATGATGTGCCACTAGTGAACAGGTTTGGAACCAATGTCATTTTCTGGCAGAAGCATGTTATGCCACTGCAAGTGAGGGATTTTTGAGAAGAATTTGGGGCAAATATATCAGACACTTGTGAATCTCCTATTGATGTGTTTCATTGCATGTTTACAGATGACATTATAAATCATCTAGTGTTTCAAACAAACCTGTGTGCTACACAGAAGCAAGGTGGTGGCCTACAATTTCAACCAACAGATAACAAAGAAATGAAAAAAATTATTTCTATCAATATCCTTATGGGAATTAAAAAACTGCCAAGATATAAAGACTATTGGTCATCTGACGAAATGATTAGAGACACTTTCATAATTTCAGTAATGAACAGAAATCGTTTTGAATGGTTCCTTGGCATGAATGACAATAGTGCTCAGCCACCACGAAATGACCAGAATTATGACAAAATCTACAAGATCCGTCCCTAGTTAGAAATGTTGTCCAAGACATTCAAGGACTGCTAAAAGTTATCAAAAGTCCAGTCAATCGAATCAATGATTCGATTCAAAGGGTGCTCCGGCCTCCACCAATACATGCCTCAGAAACCCATAAAGAGGGGGTACAAGGTATGGGTATGAGCATATGACAGTGGATATGTATCTGAATTTCAGATATATACTGGAAAAATAGGCCAGACAACATAAAAATATTTTGGAGCTAGAGTGGTTCAGTATCTAACAAAACATCTTGAAAGAAAAAACCATCATGTTTATTTTGACAATTATTTCACATCTGTACCACTCGTGAAGATCCTACAAGACATGGGAATTTATGCCTGTGGCACAGTGAAGAAACAAAGAGTAGGGATGCCAAAAGATTTCAAGAATGAGACACACATGAAAAGAGGCAAATATGATGTTAGGAGCAACAGCTGTGGCATTACTGCAACGCTGTGGAAAGACAAAAGGCATTCTGTTTCTGTCAAACGTTCATGATCCACGTGACGTTAGCACTGTGGCAAGAAAGAATATAAAGATGGGACCTCTGAGGACATTTCTTAAATTGTGAAACAATACAATGCAAACATGAGATTTGTGGACAAAGCTGATATGCTGAAGTCTCTGTATGAAATAGACATTACAAAACTTATCCATTGCTGATTTCAGTGATACCAGTGGTCTTTAAAGGTCCTGCATTAGTCATGAATATGAATATGAATTTAAACAGCACAGGGGCGTGAGCTGGTTTTGAAGAAAGAAAAACAGCCTTGTAATGCAGTACAATTACTCTGTTTAAGTATGTCCACCCCTTTATTTAATTGGGCAACTGTCAAAAATTTTACCAATTACCATTCTTTAATCTCAAACATTTATCAGTTCAAAATTGATGGCTAAACAACCTTGAAGTATAAGTTATCTTCACGATTCAATATGCATTTCTAAATTGCAGAATGAATCTTCAACAGCATTCAGTTTTAACTTCCAAATTCTTTTTCAAGAACTGTAATTTTGATGGCTTCACTTGGCAACACACTCAATTTTCTTATTTACAATTTCAATCAGAAGTAAATTTGAAGGGATCATTTCTGTATCTTGCACAGAAATCTGCTATCACAGAAACAGGACTTTATCTGTCAAAGTCAAGAGAACCACGTAAAGTAAGCCTACTTACTTCCTAATCAAATGCTGAAATATCATACTCCACATTTAAGAATATTATGTAAGTTTAAAGCAACTTTCTGTAGTATAAGGGTAAAACTTGAAACATAATCATTTTACTCAGAGTGAAACATAATGACTGAATGGAAATGTATGTTTTAGTTGAGAGGCATGAAGGAAACAAATCATTTGAGAGACCTTGACATACATAGGATACTATTAAAATAGATCTTTTATATAAAAATGGTTTCAAGCTGTGGACTTCATTAACCTGGGTCTATTTTTAATACCAGAGTGAACCTTCGAGTATCACAAACATTGGTACCATCACATTATAATAATTACCACAGGATGAAACATGCTATGGTAGCTCATGATTTAATTTTCCAGAAGAGTGGGCCGAACATTTGAGACACAAATGCAAGCCAACATGGATTTTTGAACTCCTGTGATAGCCAGTGTTTCAACAACATAATTATTGCAAGTACTAATTAAGAATGTTTGGGGAACGAGGAACTCACGGCCTCCTCAAGAGAGCAAAAAACTGGAGAAATGTATGTGTGAATATGCTGTCACATTATTCCAGCCGAATGCATTTTCACACTTATGTACATGCTAACCATCTGTTACTGCTCCTTACAAAACTCACACATCTTTCAACTATACCACCTGAGTATTAAAAAAATTGGATGTGCACAGATTAAAATCATTTGGCTCAAGACATGATCAAGTCACAGTTTGCACACAGTAATGAAACTCTGAGTTCCATTAAGAGCAGGAAGGTTTCTTGACTAGCTGAGCTACTACTGGATTCTCAAGAAGATTCTTTTCTATAGATGTAAATGCATTCATCATGAGAGATCTGAACGTGAAAAAAAAGGTATTGTAGACCTTGTATACCATTTTTTTACAAAAGTCTAAGTGATTATCTGTGGACTTCTTTTGCGACACATGTACATGTTGACCATTTTTATCTGGTTCATGACCTTTGACAGTTTCAATGAAGTACAAATTCTGTTTAGTCCTGTGTGACCAACCTACAACAAGCAAACGTGTACCATGAGCACCTTATTATTCCATATAGCTGATAAATACTAGCAGTAATTTAAATTTTTTTGCCAATTTTTTGTAGTATTTCAATAAGTAAACATTTATGGATACCACAGCATTATGCATGCATCATTTGATGTTCCACATGAGAATAACAGACATTGATACACAAAATAGTATTAATAGCATCCTTACAATATTTCAGTAAAATACAACTTCTTTTATTAGAAAAAAGGGCAACCCAAAATACCACTATCTTCAATAACAAATAACACATTTTGTCAGCACCAATTTAATATACTAAAATAATCCATACAATTCAATGCAAGTGTTGAAAAATTGTGTGACACAAAGAGATCTCAGCGCTTACAAAACAGACAGAAGGATAAATGTTTATAACCACAAATGATCTGCTGTAGATTCTGCTTTACATTCTGAGTATCAATTAAACAGATGAAATAACACACATCAGTATTTCACCTGCATGTAGCACGACATATTTTTTTCTGGGTTTTCTATTTCACAAGAAGCATGAAAATGAAGTAGATCCATCAGTTTAAGAAAACTCTAGTGTCAATGGGAAGTTATATCAGCGTGGTATTGTTTTAACAAAGTAAATTACCACTGGTGGTGATAGCTGATTCACAGAATCACCTGAAGTACACTGTAATGTTATTTGCTTGATGAAAATCTTTCTGCTTACATGTTTCAACCTAAGTGGGCCATATTATATTCATTATTATGGGTGCTGTGCAGTATTCTTGATGTAGACAACACTGTATCATACATGGGGATTGACAATGAGACAAACATTTAAAAAATTTAAAATATGAAAGTTACAAATAAGCATTTGTAACTTAAAAGTTCATAATTCATTTTTGATGTTCCTATTAACCATACCTTTTACTGTTGGCTTATACTTACTTCATAATACATTTTAAAAAAATGGTGCTCAGTTGCTTTTGTTGTTGGAGATGGGGTAAGTGTGTACACAATTTGTCATATATCTGGTAACACACAACCATGTTCCAGGGTGTAGCATGTGTAATAGTGCCAATGGCAGTAGGTTTTCTGCAGACACAAAACTTGAATGTGTTTTGATTCATGTGCATGTTTTGCCAAATAAACTTGTTTGGTTCTTAGTTTCTTTTTGACTGTAAACATAATATAGTGTCTGTTTTATGACTGATATGCTCAAGTACTGAGTGTAAAGTCTGCATATAATTTTACCATAAGACTGTCAATCAACACTATCATTATTAATAAATAAATAAAATAAAAAAGAGTACCCAAAGATGACAGTTTCGAAATCACCAAAAAGACTGTTATCAAACAAATAAGGTAAGCATGTGAACTGTTTGAAATGTTAACGATAAATGTACTGTGTGTGTGTGTGTGTGTGTGTGGGGGGGGGTTGAAATATGCATTACGGTTACTAATTTTACACTTACGATACTATTACAGGATGATAAGATAATATACATATGTTCCTTACTTTTTACACTTTTACTTATATATAGACAGTAGTATGTGAAAATTTTACAATCACAATTACCTGATTCACAACTTCGAAGAACAGTGCACATGTTGAATTTGGATAGAATGTACACAACTTCCACTAGCACGTACCTCCAATTCCTATTTCTGTGTCAGAAACACACGGTCCCCTCACATTAAGGGACGCACATGAACCAATGGCTCCTGACACTGAAATTACAGAAGAAGAAAAAAACTTAATATCTTGCTCTGACAAACTTCAAAATTTAGTTTCTTCTTAAATTCAACAGTACATTGGAAGTTTCTGATAACTACTGATCTCATAATAACAATTAAAACATTTTTTATACATATTCCTTTGACATGCGGATTTTAGTTCAGCATAACCATGGATACATATTTTATTCAGGGTTATAATTATTCCAGAAATTCATTCATTGGGAGTTATCAAACGTACCTTTCAACTGTCTTGAAGTCTTCACTTCTAATGTCCCGTTAAATGCCATTTTTAATTCTCCTTTCTGGTCCTTAGAAAATACTCTCTGAAAAGTCTGTTTAAATAGAGATGAGTTGAAGCAATCACCCATAATCATGTGGCCACTGAAAACATGAAATGGCTAATAATGCAACGTTATACACTAAAGTACTTGATCAAAATGACATCATTTCTTAGAAATATTTTGGTTAGGTTAAATAACCTGAACGTTGCACAGCCACTAAGTGAAAGAATTATACACATTTATCTCATCAACAAAAAAATCACATTGTGAAAAGAAGTTTTATGAACATAATCGTTTATGAATATAACAAAAGAAGAAGAAAAAGAAAAGATAGTTCATAATCAACATTTCTTCTTTAAAGATTTTAAACTTTCTAAATGAACTGTTAATATGATTGCAGAACTATCTGATCATTACACACATTCGATTCCATGACCCCCGCATTATTATTCGTTCGATAACACACTTTCTTTGGCCATAATGCTTCTATCTGGCAGTGATTACATGCTGCAATCACATACATTAAAAAATTATGTAAACCACATATACCAGCTACAAGGATCAATATTACAACAAGAAAGTGTTTCAGAACTCACCCTGTAGAGTTACAACACTCCTTCATTTCTAACAGCCCTGTTTGGTTCAGAGAACAAGAATAAATATCTACAGCGTGACCATTTGTGGCGGCACGCACGGCCAAGGCCTTATAATGTTTTATGACCTTCTCCTTGTAATGCACAATATTTTTGTTGATATCGTGATACATCCTGATTGGTTGACGAAGATCATCATTCACCACTTGGCCAGGTCCTTGAGAGCAAGGACCTCCTACAAATAGCATAATCCTTGCTCCTGTATTTGGGTATGTGCACTGCAGAGAACAAACAGTTTTCAAGAGGAATTAACCAAGAGATTTTCTTGCATGTCAATATCACAAAATATGCTACAAAATGTTTTTACCCTCCAACTCACATGGTGCTGTATTATTACCTTTCTTGAAGTCTGAACCCAATGTGCACCTCTGTGGCCAATTTTACACAATGTACGAGTTTATTAAACTTTTAGAGTTGCTAATTAAATCACAACTGTATTTTTATACCAACACCTTACAACACATGATCTGGAAGAATTCTAAAGGTTAAAGCAAATTTATTAATATTCTCTAAAATTTAGAATTTTATTTTTGTTAAAATTATTTCAAAATAAGCTTCAAGGTAATTAAATTTCCATTTTTTAAACTGATATTTTAATAGAATTAATTACCAAATTTTCAATTATTTAGTGAATCGGAAGGAAATAAAAATGTGATTACTCAGAGATCCACTATACACAGCACATAGCATTTTGTCCTGGCACTAATAAACCGGCCCAAAGAAATTTGAAAGAAGAGCACAAACAATACACAAAAGTGATTAAATTTTATTAGCACAAACTGTGTGTTAAAGTCTGATTCAAATGATTACAGCAAAACCTGCGAGAATTTTATCAAAGTGAAAGGCCAAAAAGTGTATCTCATCAAAATTAACCCAAAATAGTATATTAATCATGTCCACTTTTCTTGAAGTTTGAAGACTCATTCTATGTGCCAAGTGCTTAAAACCTTTCCAAACACAACCTCATACAATCTTTTATACTTGTAAGAAACAAGTGCACTGGAATAAATATCAGAAAGCTACGAGAATCTAAAACATTCACTTGAATAACCTTCAATAACAGCATTCCTCAGCCATGCAATGAAAAATGTTGCTGGCTTGTTACACTATCTAACTGTATACCAAAGGTATAAACAGAACCAGGTAGAATGTAAATACAATATTGTTAATATGCAATAAAAATCTTTTCTAATTTAGAATTAGTCCTAAAACAACAGATTACTTAAGGCATTTGGCAGGGCTCAATGGAGAGGGGATCAGCACAATGCAAGGCCTCTACCTACACAGAAAAACATAACACAGAGGAAAATGGACATACATCCATGCACTAAGTGATTCAAGCTCGCAAACAAGCTGAAATCATTTAGGACCATATGTTCCAAAGATCACAAAGCCAATATAACTGAAACTGCATCATATTCAGTTATAAACTCACATGTAAGAAAATACAAATCTGCTACAAGACTGTTCATGTAGGTATCCATCCAGTCTGCCACAACTACATTGGACAATGACAATTTTATAAGATTTTCTTTTATATTCATGGTGCTTCATGAATATAAATTATACATTTCTGACATGCTACAAAAAAGTATTTAACACAAATCTAAAAGAATTTGAAGTAGTTCACAGCAACATTCCTGAGATGCGCTAGACATCCAGTAAAAGCCTTCGGCGCTGGGTTCATATCTCAACTGTTGCCACTATAACTTAAATGAAAATAAACAAACATGAGTATAATAACCTCAAAACTCACAAATCATCAAATATTCCCCATACAATGGACAATGTCCAACATAACTGTGACGCACAGAATCAGCCACTGCCACAAATATTTAGATAATCACAACCATTGTAAGACATGATAAACTCAAATGTCTTGACATTCTTTGATGAGTCATACCAATACAGAAAAATGCAGTCTGACAAGAGAAAACAATGATTTACCATGACAGTGGTGATTTTAGAAACAGAAGCCAAACCAAGAGAAACCTACAAAGAATAAATTAAAGAGAAGAAAATATTTATTTACAATCAAAAGTAAAATGTGGCAATATACACACCTCATGACTAGACCAATTCAATGTAATTAATATTACTTGCCTCCAGTAAACCAACAGCAATGGACAAAGCAACGCCTGTTGATCGGAGTGACCGTTTACCTTGGGCAACTGGCCAAGAATCACGCTGCAGGTCTCAGGTGACATTCGTGAACTGGCTGCAGAAACCTGAGAGTAACAAATATCTAACATATACAAAAGACAAATCTGCTTACATTGTCAGTTTTCACATGCCACAATTAATTATGTTTGTCTTCACTTGAATCATATCTATATGATATACGTCCTTTCTTGCTTGTAGATATGTGGCTACGTAACACTGTAAGCATATATAATGTGCACTATATACCTGTTAGGTGGTGGTAACACCTGCCCTCCAGGACCTCGAAGTTGCTGCTGCTGAGGTGCACTGAATTCACGGATTCTTAGCATATCCTGAATCTGCTTTGCTGTGTAATCTTTAGTGCCCCTAAAAGCATAGCTTTTTGAAATTCCTATGCAGCCCAGCTCATGCACGTATACTATTTTTCCAAATGTGATGAGACCAATAAGAGCATTAGGAGGAAGTAAACTAAGAGAATTTTGAAGAGTATCTTTCAGTGCATTTAATTCTTCATCATCAATACATGTGTCCAACACTAGGAGGAAAATGGGTGGTAAACATTGTGCACGCTGAAAAATTGAAAATTAGCATTAATCATAACAGGTAATTTAAAAAAGAAATAACATAACAGCACTATCATTAATATCACTGTTTGAGCCACCAGACCAGTTCAAACCCTGTTATTTTTAAAATCAGCTTATGCGTAATACTAACATGAACATTGCCACAAAGCAGTTGATGGGGGCCTGTCTTTAGTAATAAAACATTAAGTGACAAGCAGCCATATAAAGACTTAAATGTGGGAGTCTGTTTTCAAATGGTAATATTTCTTTTTTATTTAGGCACATGAGAAGAAGAATATTATTAACAACAGTCAACAACTATTATTAATTGTACACACGACAGGCTTTCATACAGACTTTTGTGGCAAAGATAGATTACATTTTCCATATTTTCTTACACTTATTTATACTCTTTTGTTCATAAATGACCTTTCGAGGCATATAATAAAGTGAAGTATGGGAGATATCAGATTAGTTCTAGAACAACTAATATATAGCCTATTCCGTGCAAAAACTATGACAGCAGTTGACAAAGGATTATGATACCAAATATTTGTAGTCTGTACAAATTATGGGGCATATTTTAAGCACTATCACATTTGCCTGGAGGAACTTAAAAAAAATAAAATAAAATTCCTCAGAGCAGCAAAGATTCAGACCATCACACCATGATTATTCACAAACATTATCTGAATCAGATCACGCTTAGTTCAACCTTTATGTAACCAAATACACGTGGCTTTAGCAACACTATTCAACTATACTCCACGAAAGAAAAATGGTGACATGACAGTACTCACAGTTACGATATATTCAACGGTAGAAGACTTTGAAATGAGTTCGGCTGGTTGATTCTGTTTTGATATTGCAGCATACTTTAGTGGAAACTGAAACACGACAATACCTCAAATTATCAAATATCCTTACTCAATAAAAAAACTGCAAATTACATGTGAATTTTCTGGAAATATTCAGATTTCTTGTCACCTAGAGGTTCAATAATAATTCACTCACACTGAAAACTCAACGATATTGATATTTTGGGACAAGCATGCCTGCACATATAGAAAGCCCTTTCTTACTGTGTTTTAAAAGCATATTATAATTCCTTCCTTACTGAACACGGTCAACTGAGTAACAACCAAGTCAACATTTGAATATCATAGAATAAGTGTACAATGACTTTCTGTTTTAATGACACAAAACTCATTAAATAATAAATCAGTGTATACTCACAGGATTCATGTGAGAGCAAAAATTGCACTCCCAGAGTTTAGCATAATAATCCACCTGACATAAAGGGTTGATAATTGCTCTACATGTGTTCTGGCTGCATAACACTGGGTCATATTCAATTGGGGATAAATCTGAAATATAGTTACACATGTCACATTTCTCTGGTTATGTACTTTTTGCATAAAAATACGTGACACGAGGATGTGTTCAGTTAGGTCCTTAGATCAACTGCTTTCAGCTTGTACAGTTTAATGTAAACTTTATTAAGTAAATGTAATTTTACAATAAATGGGTTAGCAGGATGTAATTCTGTCGGTAATTTCCTACCTGCATGTCAGTAGCATTTCATGTTGGGAGTGAGACTGGAAGGGTGACACTCGGGCAAAATAAGGCACTGGGATGATAGGTTAAGAGAGTAGGGAGAGGGTACTGGATAAAGACGGCATGACATAGCATACAGCTTCTAAAATTCTCTAAAGACATAGGATCAAAACAAAGTGTCATGAACAAATTTTTGGTCCTATAAAAGGGGGGGGGGTTGAAACAGTGTTGTCGTTCTTCCTTCATTTGCCTTTGTAAATGAGAAAAAACATTATTGTATGCAAGATGACCACAAAGCCTTGTATTTAAATAAACCCCCACGTAGTGAACACCATCTTACCACAAACTTGGGGTTATCGTGGTGGTGGTGATTTTCTTACTTGGTCTCTTCTTTAATGGCTGATACAAACAGCTAAGAGGTACAACTAAACGTGTTGTCTCTAGTAATGTATCTGGCCAAGAATTCCAAGAAAATTTAACTCCATCAACATCTTCATTCTGCCGGATGGATTCCTCGTATGTTGTCATCCTTGAGAATAAAACACAAAATAAATTTGAAGAAAATACCTTTGATACTCAGAATAACAAAGGGGATTTTAAAAGACTGTAAGTGAGTAAGATCTTGGAAACAAAAACCAACATCATTCTTCTTTATACTCTACATCGAGTGTTGCTCAAAACGGAAAGAGTTGCAGTACAACACAAACAGAAAGGTACGTTAGAATCAAGTAGGCGCATATAACCTACATTGTTTTATTCAAAAATAGAATGAATAGCCTCAGTTCAGATCATGCAACATACAATTAAAACCAAATCCAAATTGAGTTTTGAAATTATTTTTGCGGCAAAAAAATGCGTATTTAGTATAGATTAATGTAAAAAGGTTTAACTTGGTAGAACCTCGGTATACGGAATATATATATATATATATATATATTGGCGGAGTTCGTTTCTTACCTGTATGTTTATATGCCTAGTTACAACAACAGAATAATGTCAATTAATATTAAAGGTATTCTATGTAAATGAATACTAATTAGAAACTTCGTTATTTTTTAATATAATCACATTCACACTATTCCTTGCACCACACCCTGCCATCAACGGTCCAAACAATTCGCTTCAAATAGACGAACAACGCTACCCGGACTTCCGCGTTCAACGTTTCTACATACAGACTGGAAACATCAAACGCAATTTGCTGGCAATGCTTGATGTTTAAAAAATTGTGAAATGTTTGGAATTTCAGGGGCCCTTAACAAACTCGTGAATAATCTTGAGCTGCCCCTTGACAGAAATAATTGTATAGAATCTTTGCAACTGCTAGACCATGACCTCTGTTGAATGACCACCGTTTTCAAAATCACATCACTGGCCATTCAAAATGATTTGTTAAAGTGCCCTCCATGAGGTGATGCTATGTGACATTCAAGAGCCACCTAATATTGGATGTAACTTTTGACTTTCATTTTGTCGTGAGGTACATTCATGATAGTAACAGGTCTTTCTGCTCAAAATCCTTTATTCCTGTGTTAACAGATTCTTACATTTTGGTTCATATACTACAGACAGAAGGTCTGGGTACAGATTTTAATCACAAAATAAGAAAATTTCAAAGTCACATGCAAAATTAACATGACACAGTGTTCTCAATTCTCTAACAAAAACTGGGGAAATGAAGTAGGTAAAACCTGACATAGGAAATTCTGCAGAAGAGAAGAACAAAACTTTTCTACAAAATTATTGATAACCAAATCAGTCATCCATCAGCTTGTTTCTGAAGTACAGAAACATGAATTTTGCTGCTACTACATAAGTGAGAAATTTTACATACCCAAGTTTAAGTAAGGCTACCTTTCCTGAACAGCATATATAAAAACTGCCTGTGTTTTTTTTTTTTTGCTCTCTCTTCTTCATTAAAACCTTAAAATGAACAGTATTATCACTGATAACTCCAGAGTCTCATTACCATCATATTTACGATCACTTCACATTCAGGCCTGCAAGTAATTCCAAAATTCATTTTTATCCAGGTACAACCACGTTTTCCCAAACTCGGCCATTGTCAATTAACTTCCAACTTAAATTCTCTGTTTTCTTCCTTTCCTACTATTTTCATAGAAATATTGGAAGTAGTAAAGGTCTGCCGTAACTTCAAGAAACAATTTCATATAACAAAACTTATCCATTGCTGATTTCAGTGATACCAGTGGTCTTTAAAACACTCTTTTATAAAGTGATGTCATGTCCTGAAGAAAACAAACTTCTTGGGCATTATCCACAGTCCCCATTGAATTAAAAAGCACCCATTCGAGGACTGGAATCTGTCTCTGTCCTCAGGCAGAACCTACTCTGCTGGAGTGTGTCTGTCTCTTGGGTTGTTGCACCGTATACAGTGATACAAGTTTACCTAGTTTTCAGGTGTGCTTGCTGCCTCCATCATCAGGGTGACGTCTACCCAACTACACACAGCACCAACACAGAAGAAAAGCATTCTCTTATTTGCCACCATGGGAACTTGAAGTCTCACTGTTGTGAAAATAGACACAACTGTCTCCACTTTGCATGATGGGTAATGTCCAAGAAGTTTGTTTATTTTAATGAAATACCATTGTTGTATATTGGTGTTAAGCATAAACTGGTTAAGCAGAAACAAGAAATGTGACATAATTCAGTTGAAGAAAACTTACCAGTCAAAAAAGGAAACGGGAGGATAACACAAAAGGACATTTTACAGAAGCACATTTTAAGTGATACAGATTGAACTGGATACTTAACTAAATCTATTCCTAAGGGGACATAAGAATTTATTACATAAATCTGTTGGTTAATTATAAGCTACGATCGTGCTTTAGTTCAGGCCATTACTCTCCATCTTCTCACTGCGCAGACTTGAATTCAGTTTGTGGGCAGTCGATGTCAGATTTGCAGTAGATGGGGCAAGTTTCACCTTGAGTTATTTAAATTTTCTCTGTGAATTGTAAGTGTATTCTCATCATCAGCAGCTGACACCACAGGCATGTTTCAGTCCTCAGCATCAAGGGATGCCTCACCCGATTCATAGCGTCCCTGCAACTGGGTATCGAACAACTGACAGGTGCTGTCCTCCTAGCTTAACTATCTGCCCAGCTATGATTAACAGCAAACAAGTCCTTTTAGCATTACATGGTAGACAAAATAATAAATCTACATATCTTGCAGATATCATAAGTGGTAGGTTCATGCACGGCCTGGTGAAAGTTTATAAAGCTTTGTGCCCACAGTGCATTCTGAGAGAACCAGTTTCTGTCTTCACACAGCGTGCTGCTAATCATCAAAGGTTAGACAGGTGTGGAAGTCTGAACAGGGCACTGGCAAATGTAAAAACTCCGAGATGGAAGAGGACACTTTAAAAGATAATATATCAGGTGGAGCTGCTGCCTCTCTGAGTGCCTCATCCTGTCTAGTTGCAGAAGGACCAGGAATATAACAGTAAGGAACTGACAAAGAAACTAACACGGGATGGCCTTGGGTCATCTTCTATTTTCTGGGTTGCCCACACTATGGGTGGGCTACTTATCAAATCACTCTTAACCAGAGGTAAACTGGTTTCAAGATAACTAGTGATGAGCACCACTTGCTTTTAACTCTTTAGGAGTTACAACCATCAGAAGAATACAGGCTTTTACAGAAAATGTCATAACTTATAAATCTATTCTCATACCTGAATTACTTAGACTTCAATGGCCATATGTGTCTTCCAACTCGCTGTATATTGTAGAAGGATATGTTTCAAATCCTGGAGTGTAACTGGCAGCCTGTAGCATGGAATTTAAATCCTACATTCTTGTTCAGTGTAGGTTCATGCCATAAGTCTATAGGAGTGTCTAGAAAACATTCTAGGATTATTCATGCTGACAAAAACAGCAGCTTCTTATCAATGTTTTTCAAACATAACCTTTCTTTCATTCAACTCCCCATACACTTTAAAGGCATTCTTTCTGAATTTAAACCTTGTTATATACAGAATCATCACTGATAAATCTGGGCTGTTACCACCATCATTGTTACACTTTGTTAATAATTAATGTTTGCAAGTAAATCTATATTGTGTTATGCAGACCTAACCATCATTTTCCACCCTTTATTGACAGCTAGTAAACTAACAAGAAGTTCAGATATTACTGAATCACCACTAGCCAATACCCACGATAAATCTCTTTTATATTCTATACCAATTCAATTATTGAATTGAATAGGGCAGAAATTCAGCACAAAAAGCCTCATACATAATATATAGTTAGGTTAGAAAATTTCTATCAAACCAATCAATCAACCAAAAATAATTTAAGCTTTTATTTATTCTTTTCCAAATCCCCTTGATGCTACTTTTGCAATTAAACTTTAATCACCCACCAAGTAATATCAAATAAGGCCACAAGAGTAGTGTGAATAATTAGTAAACCACTTCAGTATTAACTGTTTTACTAAAGCACTTGTCAAGGTTATGTATTACAGGCTAACTATCAAATGAATACTATTCAAAAATTGAGGCCAGAACAGTTTGATTTCAAGAGATAGTGACTGGAAATGTTGCCTTCATGGTGAAAGCAATCAATAATTATTCATTTTGCCCACAAATATATCCACTAGTTTCAAATTATTCCTACAGCAAACAGCTAGCATCATCACTTTAATTCTAATTTAGGGAAACATAATATTAATTCAACATATTTTATATAAATTAATTACCGAAATTGTTTCAAATCATGTTTTTACCCGTATTACGCACGTATTGAACACAGCACTTGTCGTGGATTACAAGTGAAGTAGCCATTATGCAAGTACATACACATGTTTTATTAAAAAATATCTTGGATCGTTCACCTCTGCTTAAGCACGTGAACGTGAGGCCTGCAGTCAAGCTAGTCTGCTTTGGCTCTCTGGAGCTGTTACGCCACGGATTTATTGTCTTGGGTACAGAAAAGAAAGATGGATCAGGTTTTAGTTCAGAGATGGCGTGCGTTGGTCTCTTAGCTGCCAAGCCCCAACATCACTCACGTGATGCTTTAGCTTTGCTGTAATTGGTGGACGTCACAAGAGAATTTAGCGAACGAAAATTCATTCTAGAACCAGGGATTTTTGATTCTGTTTCTGGAGATTTTAACCGCATTTCCCTTTTTAAGGTAACATTAATCATTCAGTTATAACTGGACAATAAATTAATTGTAGAAAAATGGAAGGTTTCGTGTTAAATGAAAGTAGAGTAGAGTTTATTTACATTCCATAGATCCTTCTTAGGACTCAACCAAAGGATGTAGAACATGTAATTTCATACAATATACATACACTTCAGAACTTTCAACACAAGTACAAGAACGTATTTCACATATCAATGTACATAAATTTCAGATTCTGCAATACAAGTACGAAAAATGTAAAGATCCTACAAGACAAGGGAATTTACGCCTTTGGCACAGTGAAGAAACAAAGATAGGGATGCCAAAAGATTTCAAGAATGAGACACACATGAAAAGAGGCAAATATGA